ATGCAGGTAAATGAGCGCGTCTCCAGATACTTGTCTCCTCCATCTATCCTTCTTCTCAACTTTAGCGCCCTCTAACACTTTCCGCGTACAAATTATCATCTGCTCTTATCCCACCCCAAATTTCTGTCTCTCGTCCTATTTTTCTCTTGTCATTTTTGTCCCCTCCGGCTGTCCCCACGACCGCCTATTCTGGTGGCCTCTGTAACGTTCCCGGTCTACTAAGGACGCAGTCGACAACGGTCCAAGAGTACCTAGACAGTGGTTAAAAACTAGTGTACTAAGAATCCTTGGTATATAGAAAAACTACGGGGAAACCTAAGTACAAAAAACAAACTACTGCTCCAACGAGACGGCTTTGCAGGGGAAATCGAACTACGAAGCGGCCACAATCGCAGCCTAGTCCTCGGCCGTATTTATAGATTCTCGATTCGTCAGGCAGACGACACATTTGAATTCCTCATTGTGATTGGTTGGAGGTATGTTTTGGGAAGGAGACAAACAAACTTGAGCCAGCAATATTCCCCTTAAGTAATATTTGTAACGCATTATCATATTTAGTATTTTTATAAAAAAACAGAAATGCACACCAACAAGTCGCTGTGCTCTAAATCTCTAGCTCACATAATTGCGATTGGCTCATATCGAGATCGAACACGGTCACATAAATACTCACCCTATCAGTACGATGAAAAATCACTTGCGAGCTCCCAACTAGGGGCTAGGGCCGCGTCGACCAGAGTTGACCACACCGCTCACATCTGCACCTCCGGCTCTTCCAGTCTTCCAGCTTTTTTCGAGCACATCTTTTTCCCCTCCTCGTTATTCGACTACGAACGTCTTCCTTCTCCACTACCCACCTCCTTGCATGTCGACAATAAGGCCTTCTCCTATTCTGAAACGTCCACCATTGTTCGTATGGCTGAAGGATTCTGTACTGAGCGAATGTGCACAATCGGCTGGCGGCAGACGTCGGCCGGAATGCAACCGGGCAGTGTTCACAGGCACGGAAAAGCTCGCCATCGGATGAGGACTTGCAAGTGAGGCTGACAGCTGACGCTCGAAGATGCCCACGCGTGACACTCAAACAACGGCGTCGTACCGTAGTTCTCTAATTCGTGACATCGTTAACTCCTCCTGGCTCCGTTTTCTTGTATTGCTTCGCGCCACCACCGCCTCCTCCGCCGTCTTTACTACTACTACTACTACTACTACTACTACTACTACTACTACTACTACTACTACTACTACTACTACTACTACTACTACTACTACTACCACCACCGCCACAACCACCACGCATTTAAGGTCCCTACGTCTTTCGATATCCCCATTTTCCCCTCTGGCCCTCCTTCCTCCAACGGCTCATTTGGACCATTTCTGTCTTTTGTCTCCTTCCCTCAAGATTTACACACCGAATTATTGAACAACATCCCCCCTCTTATATATACTCCCTGAAAATCCTCCCAGGTCACCGAATCGGCAGCATGCGGCGACTTCCCTGACTTGTAGGCACCTGCAGTTTTAAACATGGGGCATCTGACGAGAGCAGCTCTAACTGACTTGCCTGATCTCGTGATCGATTTCGCACAACTCACAGATCCGTTTCTGCCACTATCTCTGATGCTGGGTTCGAGCGAGAATCCGAAACGTCAGGTGAATAAGGCTCTTGTTACAGCGATCGCTTCTACTTCCAACCAACTAGTTCCTGGAACTCGCATCTTCGCCTGTATCAGCTTAATCGTCGGCGAAAAGTTTCCCTTTAATGACCCGCCCCAAGTCTTCGTGCCGAAGGTGAATGTGCGGTTAGCATGTCTCGAGGTTCAGAAAACACGGCTTTAGATGTCCTTTTGAGGTCACGGTTTTGACTCCAAATAGTCAGCCCTCGGGATGGTGTCATGTTCCCTGTTAGAGAAGGTGCTAATTCTTTCGACGAAAAAGTCGATTTCCACGGGCTAATTTCAAAACGTACAGAATAGTGTTTTCGGTTAGGCCGTCTGACTGTTTTTTCTGGGTTTCAGTCCGAAAAGAAGGAATATGAATTCCTTTCTGACTCTTCCGACTTTTAATAAAGTTATTTTATTTTTAGATAACAGAGATCACCCCCGCTCAGCATCGACTGGAAGTGAACGAACTCTTCCTCACCGATTCTTCCGAACTACTAGTGGAAGCGGTGAACCCCTTCGGCAGGGCAGTTACCAAGGCAACACTAGTTGTTACACCAGGTATATGAGGCCCAGATGGTTATACATATATGTATTTTTTCGGTTCCTAAAATAGCACTTTTCAACTAGACAGTGCAAAACTGGGAAGTCGTGTGAAGATGATCTAAGTTACTGACTGTCCGAAAAAGCGCTGGCAACTTTGCAGCCAAAACTTGGGATATAAAATATATGAAATTCTTAATATCTCTTGCATCAACTGGAAGAAGTGATATTCAGACTTTCTACTGAAGAAATTTACACTACACTACCAAAGTTGTATAAGCAAGAACAAGCAAATGCTCAAATAATGCGTATGGTTAGAGTTTCTATTCCATACCTTCCTTAATCTAAGATGTTTGGGTAAATGTTTTGTTCACAGCTAGGGACACTGTCACAGAAAGTTGTTTTTTTGAAAATGACTCTACGAAACCCAGTTGCCTTCTCGCTGTGCACTGAATCATAAAGCTGCCTGTGTTCTGACCTCCCCTTGATTTTTTTTTGGAGATTTTGAAAGACTTACCAACTTATTAGACATCTCTCGCAGAAATGAAGGAGGATTTGTCGAAGTGTTTTCGTGGAAAATGTTTGCTGTGAGGTTTAAAAACGTCAAGAATGTAATAAAATACGGAGCCTATAACAAAAAGCACGTGTCGAACGTATTTAACGCGTATTTTTCTGCAAGAAACGGCATTTTTGTTGAAGATTTCTACCTGCTGAGTAGTCGCACCGAGCGATGAAGAACGCTGTTTGCCATGGAAGTGGGCGGCATCGAACTGCGTGGAAAGCGATACAAGACCACTTTTTGCAAGAACCAGTTAGGCTCTCAGAACCGATTACACGGCCACGAAAGCGTTCTGATGGACACTCTTTTCCACGCATGATTGGTCATGACTACGAGGTCGACACACCTTAGGAAGGTTGGAGTAGCTCGTAAGGGGAAGGTGGGGTGAAGGAGATAGTGCGGTAGATGCTGTGCAAGTCTACTATCACTATTAACCAACTCATGCACAAGTTCCCGTGCCTGGTGCACCTTGCTGTGGAGCCCACGGTGGACATCGTCAGCGACGATGATCGATCTGCTGTGTGTTTGTGTGACTGTTAAAACGATTAGTGCACCCCAAAGGGATACTTTTTCTGTGTTTTTTCATTACTTCGCATTTGACTTATCGTTTTCCCCTTTACTTCTCCCTCAAGATGAACGGAAGAGGACAGAACCGCCGGTCTTTGTGAAATCACCGCCTCCACAATTCAACGCTCCCGAGACATCAACTGTGAGGTAAGACTACGCGGTGTCTATGGGCCACTTGGGAGGGTCGTTCAGTGATCTGACCTACTTGTAGGGCTGGATGCAGGCATTCCATTCTGACTGGGAAGTCTTAGGTCTAGAACTCTGGTAGATCATTTGACACGACTAGCAACCTGGTAACCAAGAGATAGTACCGATAATGATCGAGGGAGCACTCCTTCCCGGCCGCCTGCAACACTGCATTCGCAAACATGACTACTTGAGTAGTGTGATTTTTTCATTGATTTTCTATGCCCTAGTAGACCCAAATATATTTCAGAGAGAGTGTGCACAAAAGTGTTCTTCTTTGTGCATATTTGTTAGCATATTGCGCCTTATTCACATTTCATATCCAGAAGAAGGTGTCCTACGTTTTTTGAAAAGCTTTTAATTCCAGAATAATCTGGAATTCGACTCGTCGTTGCACTTACGTTTATAGTTTGCAAATTACCTGTCGCACATTTTCTCTATAAGGAGAACCCTTTAAACCATACAGAGCTCATGGAAGTTTGCAGTGGATGCATGTAATATTTAATACTTCATGAGGCACGCTAATAAACAAACAGGTAAAATGCAGTCTGGAACAGCACTGCATAATTACTAAACTTTTCGTCAAAGAATATCCCTTTTTCGAGTGTAAAATCCGAGGAGAATACGTGATTAACGACCAAATGAGTCAACGAAGGGCTTTTTAAACATCTTTTTCATAAAATGTATCTGGATTTTTAAGGGTGCCAGAAATCAGTGGGCAACATTCATATTAATTCAGATATCATTTTTAACGCGTGCGGATTTCTTTAGGCGGCTGGAAAGGGATGCCATCGAAAACCGACATTCCGACGTAACTGAACCGCCTTGGGGATTATGCGACACGAATAATGGTCTCTACTTGAATTTCGGCGCTTTCTGCATCTAGAACGCGGTACTGATTCATATTGCGTAAGGTATTATGTAGGGGAGACAGAAAACCCGTTGTAGACAGGGCACGTGCCGAACATAAGACGCAACGCACGTAGAGAGACTCAATGGTCACGGCGAACTCGTCGCATAGGGGAAATGTCATAGGCTGAAGAGTGGCCAATCAGCACACGCATCGATGACCTTGACCGTTCATTTGTCGCGCGCATGCGGTGTGATGTCTGAACAGTATGGACAGCATCCAGTGAAAAGTGATCACTCAACGTCGGAGATCAGCATCATATGCCCCAGAAAGATATGACTTTGCCGGTCAGTCCAACAAAACGGTATTCGCATCCCTCCGCATGGTCTGAATGGCCGCGGTGATTTATCGAACACTTTGTAAACGGTTCCGTCGAGTCCGAGCGCTGACTCTTCAGTGGATAAAGGAAAAGTTGCTAACTTATATAATACTTACGGAAGTTCTGCTGTACAGTCTTGTGGCCAGAATTCGAACAGTCTGGATTTGTTACACCTCTCTTAACGTTTGAATTATTACTGGAGCATTGTACAGGGTCTTCGCTGTCCGTGATGCTCGCGGTCTGACTCCTAGCTGAAAGCGAAAAGACCATGATTTTCGTTTTTTTAAAATCTCTTGCTGAAATTTCCACAATCAAGGATGCACTGCTGTTGACCTCATAAAGCCGGGCTGTAGGTTACATCTATTTTCCTTTGAAATGCATCCGTTTGGCGCCTCCTGACGTATCTACTTCTCATGTCCATTTTAGAATCGAGTGTGCTGTTAAAGGACTACCAAAACCCAAACTGCGTTGGTTCCACAACAACGTCGAAATCACTCCCACGCAGGTTCCTTCTCCCAGACAGACCAGCAAGTACGAAGTAGTCGTTGACCAACCTGATGACAGGCACACTGTCTACGTACACAATGTGAATCCTTCGGATGCCGGAGAGTACATTGTTCGCGCAGAGAACGAGCTAGGTGTCAGCGCCTGCAAGACGACAATCAACGTCAAGCCGACTGCATCTGCGCCCATCCACTTCTTACGACCTCTGCCGGAAAAGGTTACGGCGCGACCGGGCTACTCAACAACTCTCGAATGCGAGGTCGATGCCATTGCACCGGTGACCTTCAGCTGGTACGTCAACGGACTGGAGATCGAGAAGACCTCACCCAATTTCTACATCTTAGAGGAAGTCAATCGAAGCACCCTGACCATCCAGGTAGTCCCGCCGGAGATGCTTCCAGGAGAGGTCACCGTCGCGGCCCAGACTCCTGATGGTGCCTCAGTCGTCTCGACAACTATCCTTCAAATGCAAGTGGAACCCAGCCCAGAGTTGAGCTCGCCTGACACGACCGATTTCAACGTGCCACTGCATTTTACCCAAGCGCTGCCAGAAATCCAGACTGTTACAAGATCGCAGTCTGTTCTGAATCTCGAAGTAGCCGTTTCGCCAACCCCGGTTGCTCCAGTATTTTGTTGGTATGTAAATGGCACCAATATCGACCTAATGCCACCGGACGCCCGACCGCGGGAAGTTCAGATCGAACTTGTCAGTCCCACACAAAGTAGGATGATTATTACCGAACCAGATAAGACGAGAATTCAAGAAGTTACCTGTCAGGCCTTCCGGGCTGACCAGCCTTCAGATACTGGCATCAAAACCACCTGCCACCTTAGACCCGAGTCTCAGGAGTTGCCAGAACAACCGGCACAGCAAGCGAGTCCCCTGCGGTTCGTCCAGCCATTGGAACCCTTGGTCAGCACTGAAGCCGGCAGCACGGTAGTCCTACAGACGACAGCTGAGTCTGTACCATTGGCCGAGATTACCTGGGTGGTCAACCAACCGGAAACAGCGCAGAGGTGTGAAATAATTCCCCTCATCGACCAATCCCAGCCCACGTACACGACCTCTCAGTTGGTACTGCACAATTTCACTCCGCAGGTCGACGACGGTGTGGTTATACAGGCCATAGCACGCAACGCCCAGGGCCAAGAGGTATCAACTTCTTGTAGTTTGAAAGAGACTCAGCCACAACCCACGGTTGCTCACTTTACCCAGTTGCTTCAACCAGAACTTCAAGTTCCCGAACGCCACCAAGCTGTGCTGGAATGCACCGTGGAATCCAGTCAACCGCCTGTCGACTTTAAGTGGTATGTTAATGGTCTGGAACTAGGACCCGAAATGTTCAAGCAGGTTGTCATCGGTAAGGAACAGTTCCGTTCTGTGCTCAGTATTGAATGCGTACAACCCGAGTTGGCGGGTCTAGTCTCTGTGGAGGTCCTCTACCCGCAAGGCAAGCTAGTCAGTACGTGCAACCTGGAGGTCCTTCCAGAGGAGCCGACACGACTTGAAGAGAGCAGGACAACGGTCCAGATCGCTCGCAAGCCCGCCGAGGAGTTCCAGCCCATTGAGATGGAGATACCCGTAGTGGCCTCCCTCTCGCTCGTTCAGCCTCTCCTCAACCAGACGGTCCAGGCGGGACAGCCGACACTTCTTGCCTGTCAGGTAACAGCTCCGGCAACGGAGCTGTCCAATGTCAATGTGACCTGGGCGAAGGATGGTCAGCAGCTGGATGAGACGGTTGCGGAGTCGAGCTTCGACGTCACCTCCGGTGTAGCTACGCTTATCATAAGGGAGACATTCCCATCTGACGAGGGAGTCTACACCTGCGACATGTTGAGCCAAAACCTAGGTCAAACTGTGCACACAGAGGCCTTCCTGGAGGTTATTTCGCCAAAGGCGCCGGAGACCGTCATACAAGACCGACCGCTGCCTGTAACCACGGTAGCTGAACATCACCCGAAATCGCAGGAAATGGAGACGCCACAACAACCGGTTCTGGTGGCAACTCAACCTGTACAACCCCAACAGCCGGAAGAGGAGAGGGGTCCAGAGAGACCCCAGACCAGCGAAAGAATGATTGAACTGAAACCGCAACAGGAATTTCAGCCCGTCTCTGTGGAAATACCACTTCCCACTGAGAGGCAACCGACTGAGATTCAACATACTGAAATTGTGACTGTCGTGAAGTCGGAAGAGGAGATCGCTCCAGCACAACCTCAGACGAGCGAACACGTTATTGAATTGAAACCACAACAGGAATTTCAGCCCGTCTCTATGGAAATACCCCTTCCCACTGAGACGCAACCGACTGAAATTCAACAGACTGAAATTGTGACTGTCGTGAAGTCGGAAGAGGAGATTGCTCCAGCACAACCTCAGACGAGCGAACACGTTATTGAATTAAAACCGCAGCAGGAGTTTCAACCCGTCTCTGTGGAAATACCCCTTCCCACTGAGAGGCAACCGACAGAGATTCAACAGACGGAAATTGTGACTGTCGTGAAGTCGGAAGAGGAGATCGCTCCAGCACAACCTCAGACGAGCGAACACGTTATTGAATTGAAACCGCAGCAGGAATTTCAGCCCGTCTCTATGGAAATACCCCTTCCCACTGAGACGCAACCGACTGAAATTCAACAGACTGAAATTGTGACTGTCGTGAAGTCGGAAGAGGAGATTGCTCCAGCACAACCTCAGACGAGCGAACACGTCATTGAATTGAAACCACAACAGGAGTTTCAACCCGTCTCTGTGGAAATACCCCTTCCCACTGAGAGGCAACCGACAGAGATTCAACAGACGGAAATTGTGACTGTCGTGAAGTCGGAAGAGGAGATCGCTCCAGCACAACCTCAGACGAGCGAACACGTCATTGAATTGAAACCACAACAGGAGTTTCAACCCGTCTCTGTGGAAATACCACTTCCCACTGAGAGGCAACCGACAGAGATTCAACAGACGGAAATTGTGACTGTCGTGAAGTCGGAAGAGGAGATCGCTCCAGCACAACCTCAGACGAGCGAACATGTTATTGAACTGAAACCGAAACAGGAATTTCAGCCCGTCTCTGTGGAAATACCCCTTCCCACTGAGACGCAACCGACTGATATTCAACAGACTGAAACTGTGACTGCTGCCGTGCTAACAGAGCCTAGAGAGGTTAGTGAACACGTCATCACAGTCCGACCCCAGGAATTACAGTCTGTGACAATGAAACTGCATGGTTCGAAGGAGGAGCAGAAGCCTGTGACGACTACGACAGAGCAGCAGAAGGAAAGTGAGCCTGTACATTCCGAGGTTATATCAACAACTAAGGTCACTACAACGCCCCAAGAACCCGAGCAGGTTATCGAGACAATGGAGCTTCCTCAGCCTTCACTTGAACCAGTCACCATGGTTATTGAAAAGCCGAAAATCAGCGAACAGGTATTCCAACCCGAAGTATCCGACCAGAAGCTGGAGATCCTTGAACAGCAGCACACGGAGACGGAGTCAGCGCCACCAGTAACGGAGGAGACGCTTCCATCTGAGACCTTCCAACCAGCCACAGTGGAGATCGATATCGCCCCGACTGCGCCAGAAGCCATCCAGAAGGAGGATCTTCATCAGGTGGAACTGCAAGTGGCCAGTGTGACGCCTGAAAAACCGGTGGCGCTGGTTCAGCCGGAAGAGGAGAAAGCTGAAACCACTGTGACAGTTTCAGAAACCCATGAGGTGAGACAAACACAACCGCAACCCCAGCTATTGCAGCCGGAGAAGACGGAGGTGGTACCTGCTGAGGAAAGACAGGAACTTCCCCGAGCGGTTGATGAACAGATCTCAGAGGCGCCCCGAAGCTCACCGGAGAAGACAATCGCACAGATTTCGCAGTCAGATGTCTTGGAGGAGAAGGCTGAAGAGATAGCGGAGGAGAGACCAGAGGTGCAGGAAGTGCTTCCAACGTTGGAGCAAACTGAAGCGTCCGTGGGAGTCGAGGAAGTTCGGCAGCCCGAAATTCAGTTATCAGAACTGACATTCCTGAAGCCACTGCAGGCAGAAGTCACTGACCAAACACTTGAGTACGTTAATTTCTTGCCGTTTTTGTGTGAAAACTGTTTACAGCTGATTGTGACCGAGGAGTCACAAGAGCTAGTTTGGTTTATCAACTGTCTGGCATCGCGGATAGGTCTACTGTCCATTTGCGAGCATTTAAAACGCACGAACCATCGTAGTTTTGCTATAAGACGGCCGGAGCTGACCTTTCTGATTGTCACAGGAAATTTTCAAGTCTGCTCCAACTGTTGGCGGTCGGAACCGCATGGGTACTGAGCCCCAGCAATAACGGTCGGACCATATTGTCCTTTAAATTTATCAGACATTAGCTTGCCACAAATTTTCTTTTGGGTCCGGTCTTTATCGACGAGTTACGAAAATTCCCATAGCAGTAATCAGAAAACGAGATGGCGAGCATACGTAGCTTTCGATAAATTCTCGTCGGGCCAGTGCTGTTATACGGAAACGGCGTCGAAGTAAAACATGTCAGCCATAAGAGAAATCGATAAAAGTTCGCCTCAAAACAGAGGCGGGATGTGGGAATGTGGGGGAGGGGGGGGGGTAATAGCAGTCAGTGTCAGGGGCGGGGTGAGAGCGGAAGGGCGCGGGGGGAGTTGCACCGTTAGTCGACCTTCGACCACTGTAGGTGCGGTGCCTGAACGTGGTTCTTCTGTGCGCATAGGATTGGCTTTCGTGACCTAATGACGGCCGCTTCCGCTGTTGCTAACAGGCGCTGGCCCAGTAGCTTCCGATAGTTCGATGCGACCTTATAAACCACACGAAAAGCTTCGTTGGGGTCCACACGATGTCCGGAATCGACAACATGCGCGAGAATGGCGCTGCTTATGCTCCTCGTTTCGCCTTTTCCAAGCCATGCCGGGAGGTGTTCCCGTATTCTCTTGGATAAGCGCCGACTCGTGCGACCAATATAACCTGCTCCACAGGAACAAGTGAAGGAATAGACGCACATTGAGGTGGTCTGCGGTGGCAACTTATCCTTACCTTCCCCGCGTAAAATAGGGTTAGCAGAGAATGATACTTGAACCCTTGCTGCTGGGTAGGTTTGCGAGACAGCTTGATCAAGGCGTCCCCTTAGGAGTTCACTCACAGCGTCCCCTTGGAAAGGGACTTTGAGGAACAAAGTTTTCTATTCAGCGGTCGATGTGGCGGCAATGTTCTTTGCAAAAAACCTCTCAGGGTACCCGTTTTCGCGAAGAAAGTCCTGAGTTTTCCTGAGCACCTCCTCAATGCCATCTGTTGAGCAACTTTTTATAGCTCTTTGTGCCAAACATCGGACTTAATTTTGTTTTTGTTGGAGGGGTACGAAACTGACGAAGTTCGCGTATTGTCCAAACCAGGTTTTCTTCCGATAGACGTTTCTTCGGACACTCCTGTCAGGTCTCCTGCTTAGAAGAACATCTAAGTTGGGAGGCGAACTGGCCAACTCGATCTCCAGCGTGAATTTGAACGACGGATGTGCCTGACTTGCAGCATCTAAGAGGGTAGCTACGTCGGTTTCTGCAATATATCATCAACATAGCGACCGTGATGTTTAAGCTTATCGATCTGACTTCCTTCGCGAAAACGGGTATCCTGACAGGTTTATTGTAAAGAACATTGTCGAACGACCGATCCAACCCGCCACACCGACCGCCGAAAATAAAACTTTGATCCTCAAAGTCCCTTTCCAAGGAGACGCTGAGAGTGTGTTAGGGTCCGGCTTGCTTTGCCCAAGTTATGACGCCAAACTTATGGACCGACACTGCTCACTTACATAGATGTGTAACCGAAAACCGAACTCAGGCCAATTCCGACATGGGAATGGGGGTAAGAGTGGGTTTCACGGGTGGGGCTAACCAAAAAGTTGTAAAAGTCCGCTCCAATCGTAAGGGAGTAAATAAGAAATAGAAATAAGCCGTGCCATGTTTAAAAATAACTTAAAACCGGTGGGAAAAGGGGGAAGGATGTGCGCAAACACCTGATTTGTGGGAGATGGGGGGAGAAGCAGATGGGAGGCGGGTGATAACCAGTGGGAAAGAGGACAGTGAGGAAGCGGATGGGACTACTATCACAGAACGAAGGAACCTCGGAGGACGGTAACCGAGACTGTCGCGAAACCGTCGAAATGTAGGGGCAAACGCCAGCGGTTATAAGCAAGTGGATGCTAATAGGTAAAGTGCCATTACATAGCGAAGTTTGCAAAGTTGGAGCAAGCGGCATGACAGGCACGACTGGGCTTGATACCAATCGAGCATGCGCCTCCTTAGGCGAGAGCAATACGCTGGATTAAGGAGGAGGAGAAGGGAGGGGACAGAAGGAGAGACCGGAAATCGGCTCGATGACCAGCCGGAACCCGGTAGGCCGACATTGGATTAGTAAGAGAGGAGGAATGTTTCACGAGTTAAAACTATACGCTGGGCTGGGGAGGCGAGGGGTGGGGGTTCGGTCACGAAAACACGACTGCAACGCCGGCGTGAGATGTCCAGCTCGCTCGCGCTTCCCCAAGCGAAAGCTGTACATGGGGTTAGGGAGGAGAGGGGG